TGAACCCTCATTCACTACATTAAAATTCTCTAAAGTATGGTCTCCTCCACAAAGTATGCATGCATCCTTGGGTCAGCATGTATTGTTTCTAAGGGACTGGATCTGATCTCTGTTGCTAATAATAAGATGTAGCTTGGGATTGCACTTTCCTCTAAAGGAATTCTTCCTATCCATCTTGCCTTTTTATATTGCCACATCATGTTGCCTAAAGTTAACATGAGCGTGACCCACTCTCTTAATGGTTACTTAGATTCTGGGAGTATTAATTGATCACTGTATTATTTCCAACCTTCTGTAGGCATCAAATAAAACTACTGAACATACAGATCTGTATATGGAGTAGATAGAGAAATGGCAAATAGTTCCTATAGAGAGAGTACAGCATCCCAGTGCTGTCATATCTGAGATATATAATCCATATTTCATATATAGTCAGTCTACAGAACCTAGATATATCAGTATTCAAGAAACATCTCAATGTCGCTAAAACAAACTGAACAGTAATAGGCGCTCATTCCCCGTGTTACTTGAACAGTTCAACAAAGGGACCTGTTGGCTTGATTTCTCGTGCTTTGAAGCATTAAGCTTCAAATATTATATATTGCCAGATGATGTTTACAATAAAACCAATAAAACTAATAAAATATGAACTAGTAATAACTCAGCTGATATTATGTTTTCTGGAGATCTAGCTCTTCAATTTGAACTATGTAAGTCAATGTGGGTTGAGCTACTTACTGCAGGTGGCCTAGAAGACATTCTTGAACCAACAGGATATCTGAACAATTTATTGGCATGGTTGTAATAGTCATGTTTCAATAAAATTATTATTTATGTAGATAGATTTATACATTCCCAAAGGAAAGGAAAAAAAGGAAAAAAAGTCTACATTTAATAGCCTTACATAATGTTCAAGCCCTGAACAAAAAGGAGCCATAATACATCAGAAAAGCATGAATGTTATGCTCTTCAAAAGTGAACTGTTAAAAAAATATTCATATGATGCTTGTTGCATATATGAACGCTGTACATGAAATCCATAATGTATAAACTGGTAGCACATGATCAAAAAAAAAATGGAAAGCCAATTTTGAAATTCTAAACTTCATAGGTTTAATGTTTTCAACACCTGTTATACGTTTGTAGAAGAACAATTGTCTTACTACAGAAAGTATTTACAATGACTGTAAATGCTCACAAGCTAGATCAACCTCAGACTATTATCTTAAAATATTTGTCAAGAGATTCGTTTTCTCAAAATGTCATTCTTTTTATACCTTTAACATTCTGGCATTTTAGCTTCATTACGCGTAATCAAAAGTTTTCCCCTGATTCGAAAGGAATGCAGCTTGTTCAATTTTCAGAAATTATCTGCAGCTGCAAAGACTGAAGAAACTAGGATAAAAATCTACCTGTTTCACCAGGAATCAACGATAAATTTCTATGGCAATCATTTCTAATCTGAAATTCATCAAATGCACTGGACTGAAATTCCCACTCAATATAATTTCTGTATTGAGGCAAAGGGAAAGGTGATCCAATTCTCTGAAGAATAACAGATAAAAGAAGATTAATGTAAAGTAAGGTAATAAGGTCCCAGAACAATACTGCAAATTCTGGTTTATGAAATTGTATTTCATTGAATTGATGAATAGGACAACAAAATAACCCAGCTATGAAATGGGGACAGTCTCATATTTTAGAACACTGAGAGATTGGAACACAATTAACTCAGGTAATTAACTCAAGTGATAGAATAAGTGATCCTCTCCAGTTATTAGAGAATATGTATACAGTGAACATATTTTTGAGTGCATAAACTGCGTTTGTAGTGACTATCTGAAAGTTGTCACAACTTCTAGAATATGTTTGTGTTTTCTGGACCTCCATATTGTTTATTCCTACATATTCTCTAATTATACACATCTGATATTCTGCTGAAGTTTTAAATCAATTGTAACTTTTACAATATTATGGAAGCTGATAATTATTTTAGACTGTGCAATAATGTTTATATGCTAATTTATGGGAGCATGCATATTACTGAGTAGAATAGGTGGCAAAATAATAGTGATAACCATTAAAACTCCAGTATTTTGTATTATTGGAAATTTTTAGTAATCTCTTGCTAACTCATCAAATACATAACCGAACCACTTAAATTAAACATAAATCTTACAATTCAACCAAACAACTGTTGATTTGTCTGTTTCTCAATTTCCAGTTTCTCTGATATAAGACTTATAAAACCTCTTAGATGTGTGGCTATTTGTACGACATAAGGAAGAGTGGAAAGGTCTAAAAAAGGTTTATAAATAAGTTCATATAATGCATGTTGGATTCATGCATTATATGAGCAAATTAAAATAGTTATGTTTTATAGCAATCATCTGAGCTAATTAGAATTCTGAGTATCTCTATACCTTCCCACCTAACAAAAACTAGGGAACCTAATCAACTGCAGGCAGACAAACCAAATTAATTTCCCTGAATTTCCTCGAAAATGTTTATGATGATAAAATGGATATTTTTTTTTGTTTTTTGGTTCATAAATCCACAGGACCTTTTCCTTGAAGCCTATGGATGAGCAAACACAATCAAAAGTCACCATTACCTTCTTTGCTTTTAAAATTATATGTGGGTTTGTGCGTGTATAAAAAAGTAAAACCTTTTTTCAATGGACAAAATAAACATTTACTGGACCAATATTTCCTTTGGTAGAAATTAGTCAATATAATGGCCTACAGGCCAGCATCTTGAATATTCTCCTGTCTTCTTACTTTAACTGCACCATGCTGTTGCTATAAGTCAATTAAATCTTTGACACAAAATATTATAATTGTATTCTGAGACTAGAATTATGGTGATAGCATATCCTAGGATTTATACTGATCCAAACTGCTATGGAGAATGCAGAATCAGCTAAATTAGTAAGCATTTGCCATTGCCATTCTATTTACCCACCCCCGAACCATGGAAATTAGAAAATAATCAAGTTAAGACTTTGTCCTAAGGATATACAAAAAGATCAACCTCTCCCCACCAAAAGATTAAAACAAGCAGCAATTTTTACATAAAATAATAAACAAATGAAAAGAAATTGTCAGTAGCATCTATCACCTCTCTGCATCTGAACTGCACTTATACAAACTAGTCCATTAGTACAGCAGCTTGCTAGAAATTGACTTTGGTTCAAGCTTAGTTTTTAAAAAATAAAACATTAAAAAAAATAAACACACATTAAAGACGGTGGACGGACATTTGCTCATTTCCCTGCTTAACAGTTCACAAGTTTTTTTTTTTTAAAGTTTTAGGAAATAAGTTTCTTATATTTAAATAGCTTGTGAGTCAGGAAGTTGAAGATTCAGAGATGAACAGAGAGCAGGCAGCATGATAGTAGGTGGAGAGGAGACAGATTTCTGCCAGTTGATAGTTAATGCAGATCTGCAAACTGCGGTCACCAGTCGGAGATGGCAATAGAAATGAACTCTCTTTCTGTTATTAGGTGATCAGAGACAAGATTTTTTTTGGGGGGGGGGGCAAGGAATGGATTGCAGCTATGTGAGCTTAAGAACTTCCTCGTCCCTCTTCCAAATATTAATAGAAAGGAACATTGAACAGTTCTGATATTTTCCAATTTGGATCAAAGGGATAGGAAAGTGCCAGCTATGCAGTAGTGATCCAACTTCTTTTTATCGGAGAAAATATGAGTTCAGGTCAATATATCATTTCTGTCTCCTTTCCTCCATCTCTCTCTCTCTCATCCATTGTCAGCAGTTGTTTGCACGTACTACTTGATGCTTGAGAACAGTTTTTCCCTCTTTAGTAGAGATGTTTACTGCCATAAATGATTTAGCTAGTAGCAAAAAACACAAACAGCATGAAACATTGCAAAATACATGCAACATGCTAGTGCTCATCATATTCCACAGCAAGTTGGCCTGTTTTTTTAATCATCCCTTACCACCAGTTCCCACAGCAGCAAGCAATGGTAAAAACACTACAAATTGTTTACAATGGAACAAGATTACAAGGCTGCTTTTTATGGCTGTGTTGGCATAAATGGTACTTCCTGTTCACGTGACCCAGTTTGCTTCTGGAACAGAAGTGTTTTAAATTCAAAATAATTTTAATACAATCATAAAAGCAAGAGACTCCAGAAAAAAAAAAATCTAAAGATGAGCCAATGCAGCTTTTTGAAATCCTATGCCAAACAGCTGGTAGGAAGATTTAGTGGATGCATATGAGTTATCAGCAATATAGGCAGTCTCCTGAGAAAGTAAATAACAGAAATATTTTCAAAGTTGTAAAGTGGCAATTTCCATGCAATTAGGAAATAAGAGAATTGTCAGCACAAAAGTTGAAACAGAGGCCAAATCCTTTCCCCCTTGGATCAACAAGAGCCAAAGACGTGCAAATGAGGGCTAGATTTGGCCAAAAATGATGAACACACTGCTGTCTAAACAAAACTCCCACGTCACATGTGTGGACTATTTTCGCACATGAGCCTCAGTATGTTTATTTTAATTGCCAACACTTCTGAGAGAATCTCAGAAAACACTCCACCAAGAAAATTATAAAGGATATTTGTGATTCACATGCTTCCCTCTCTTCTCTCTTCCCTCTGAGTGCATGGGAGCTCACTGAAACTGTTCCAGGAGCAAAGAGAAATGTGTCCAAACGTTCTTCTTCTCTTTATATAAAAAATAATAATAATCATAAAGAGATACACAAGTAATACAGGCCTGCCTAAACTGTACCAGTTAAGAAAGGAATCCCCAACACAATTGATAAGATTATAAACATCTTGTATGACATTATGGCCTGTACAACAGACCAATAAAAGATAATTAAAAAAAAGATATTCAGATCAAAAAGAAAAGAAAAAAGAAAACCCATTCCTATGTTTGAGTTGATAACCCACCTTAACTTGTCACTGAGACTGCTGGAAATGATAAGTAGTCCTTTTTTTTTTTTTTTTTTTACATTTTTGGTTAGAAAGTTCTCCAATCAATGAAGCAATCCTGAAAAGACAGTGTTTCTTATAAAATTAGGCAACTGTTTGTCCCAGTTTTAAATCCTTCTTTTTCTTGCTGTTTTTTTTTTCCTGTTTCTAATATTTTTCCTTCTCTCCCTTGTCCCCAGTAAGATGGCAGGAGGAAGCCAATCACAATTTGCAGTTCAGAAGCCCGGCTGACAGCCAAACTCACTGCAGCATGAAACAGGCTAGGGTTAGCACAGCTCAGCCCAACTCACTGTGCCTTGGAGGCCGTAGTGGTGGTGGAAGCAGCCCCACTGGCTGAAGCTACTGTGAAGAGAGAGTTCTGGATAGATTCTGCTGAGGTGGAGGTGGCATGAAGGCTGGCAACTGGTCCAGAGGCCCCTGCGGAGGCTGCAGCTGCAGAGACCAAACTAACTGGGTTGCTGGTGAGCAGTGAAAGATTCTGAGGGTTCAAGAACAGTGGGGCAGTTACGATGTTGGGTGTACCTCCAGCATTGGCAAATACCAAGTTCCCAGTTGCATCCAGCGATGTTATTGGAAGAGAGCCACCAGATGCAAGAGCTAAAAAGAGGAATAATAAATGTCAGCATTAACACAGCCAACTCCCCAAAATACCATAGGCAAACAAAAGAAAAAAAAAAGAAGAAAGAGCTTCCTTTTTAGGTCTCTTTAACGATTTGAAATTGCAAATTCATTTTCCACTTAAGGAAATTTACAATTTTTACCGCATAGGAAATGCAGATTTGAAGAGTGAACGTTCGTTAGATTCATTATGAAAGATCATCAAAATCACAAAATTGTATTTCTAAAAACTTGGGATGACTTCCAAAATTGAGGCAAAGAATCCTTAGATTCTAATCAAGTAGCTGGCAGATGATAAACTCTTTTTTATATCTTGTCACAGTGTGGGTATTTTGCCTTGCCAATTCTTTCTAATTGACCATATAATGAGATTTGGATGCCAATTCAATAAGGAGTTCGAGCATCTTTAATCACTGAGCTCATAGCCTCAGAAATCTTTGGTCTGTAGCTTCAAAAACCAAATAGACTTAGATATACTTCTAAATATGTACCAAATTCAAATGGAAAGGGGATTCTCAGTGACTGTTCATTTCACAAGGGACAGCCAATTTGGTGTACCAGTTAAGGTGCTAGTGTATTAACCACAAGGTTAATACACTAGCACCTTAGGCATGAAAGCTGGCTGGGTGACCTTGGGCTAATCACATACGCTCAGCCCAACCCACCAGAAGGGCTGTTGTAAGGAAAATAAGAGGCAGGACAATTAGGTACCTTTGCCACCTTTAGATAGAGAATAATAAAGAGAAAGTAACATTTGCCCAATATTTCCAACATTTTGGGGAAATTTTGTATATAAGTATTTTGTTTTTACCACTGATCCTACCACTGAATTTGAAGCAAGTTCCAAGGTAGTTAATGTGTCAGATTTTTTTTAATGTAATTTAATATGTGAACATGCATATCAGAGACTTATTTGTTGTCTTTTATCCTAAGATAGACTGAAATAGACATTTTTATTCATTATGTTTCTTTAGAAATAAATCCCTGTTAAATTATTTCCGCTAGGGGCTTTTACATGTTAAATATATACGGTATATAACATCTATAGCTTTCAAAAAGAAGGAACAGAAAAAAGAGTATAGAAATTTAACAGGAATAGAAAGTATAGTGTAGTAACTAACCTTGAATAGTTGCCAATGTACTGTTGCTCATCAGAGCTGGGCTGAGAGCACCACCTAGCGTCCCAGGATTGAGACTAAGTAAGGCACCTCTGCAAATCCAAAACGCAAAGCAAAACAACCAAACAACCAAAAAAACAGGTGAGTTGTTAATTTAAGGGCAAAAAATATATCTTTTTCTAGAACTGAAGCAGCTCTATTAAGTAAACTGTTTAATTTGGATTATACAATAATACACCGTAACACTGTCAATATTTGAAGATGAAAGTGATAGAAATATGAACAAGGATTGTTAACTCCACTAAATATTTTTAAACTAGGAAAAGTGTCAAATGTTATACTTTGTTATACTTTCGTTTAACAAAGAATTAACAAGATCGGTAGATTTTTAATCACCATATATTTTAGATAAAGGTACCGAAATGTGATGACTCCTAGGTTCTCTCGCTTAACTTGATACTTTAAAAAAACAAGTTTTAAAGATACTCACCCAGCTGCAAATTGGGAAGATGCCATCAAGCCTGGATTCAATCCTGCCGCAGCTGCCATAGCAGCCAGACTTGCATTTGCAGGCAATTGTGCAGCTCCTTGTAGTGCAGCTGCTGCTGCTGCAGTTTGCAAACCAGAAGCAGTTACCATCACCTGGCTGGTCCCAAGTGCCGAGGTCAAGGGGGTGGAGGTTGTCTGGGTTGTGGTTGTCTCACTGGCACTGGATGCCTCAGATGTGGAAGCAGAGGCAGAAGGAGAAGGACTTAGGGAGGGTGATGTTACTGCCGAGGCAGCTGGAGGTGCCGTAGAAATTACGGTTGCTGTATTGTTGGGTATGGTTTCTGTGGTGCCTAAAATGATACAATATTTGAAGTACCTGGATGAGACATTGCTAAATGGAGCCAATGTTACTCTAATGGAACAAAAGAGCAAGAATTTGAGTATAAGCAGTGGTTAACTCAGGGCAGAAACAAGTATCCTTGCTTAATGACTGCCCTGTTTAGGGACTGTTCAACATTATGACAATGCTAAAAAACTAACTTCAGAACCAGTTCTCACATTTACAACCACTATAACATCCTGTGGTTAAGTGATTGCTATTTCTATGCTTTATAGCTGGCTTCTAATAATTAGTCAATGGAAAAGTCAGCAGTAAAATCACAAGTCACAGTCATGTGATGTCTTGCTTAACAACTGCAGTGAAAGGGAAATTGTAAGTCGGTCATCATCATGTGATGTCTGAGTGACTACATCCCTTAACTATGAAGTGGCTGGTTTGATTGTAGTCATTAAGCGAGGACTGTAGTTCAAACATCCAGATAGAAAAAGGCTTCAGAATACACACAAATGAGTCATAACTTGGTGATTAACAATAAACCTTCCTCATCAAAAAGACTGGACCAAATATTCAAATTAACAAGGATAGCTGACCTTTTCATAATGGAATAAATGTGTAGCCTGACCTTCACAGAGCTATACTGTGCTAAAATATCATGCTTATAACTTGATGCATTTAAAGATTTAGAGTTCAGATATGACCCAAGTAGAATTACTAGTTTTGGTTGGTTTATAAACTATTTTTGTTGGACAGTTTGAGCTATACTACAGTTACTCATATTCTATCAAGTTTCATTACTGTAACATCCTCTCTATAAAGCTGTTTTTAAAATGTGTCTAGAAATAAACAGCATCAGGTATTCCAACTGAGTTACTGTTCCTACTTCAATTTGCATGCCATCTTTCACTTTTTAACTAAGAAAGCAGAATGTGTTTTAAAATAAATAAAACTGTTTCCATTGCTTTTACGACTGTTATGTTTAGTTTATAAGTCAAGTCAAAATAGAACATTTAGTGTTCTATTTCAAATATTCAGTTCAAATTGTTTGATTTGACTTATAAACTACTATAATGAACATTTTTTCCTCACTGTTCTTTTCTTTGGTATGAATAAGCATAGCCTTGCTCCTAACCGATTATCCAGAACAAACAAAATACATTAAGAAATCATAATATAACTGAAGGATCCAATTGAGATGGATTATCTCAATTTCAAAATTAGTCTATTTCTTTTGAGAAATCCAAAATATTATTTCCAATTATGCCTGGCCATTCATGGATCAACAATGTTTTAAAATAGCAACATGTGGCATTTGGTATATGTAATACCCCTGATTCAACTGAAGGACTGAATACTGGCTAATTTTTTTTATCAGGATTCACATGCACTTTCCTGATGTGTCAAGTTCCTCCTCAATCTCTCAATACTATAATCTTAGTGCTTCCTCCAAAACAAGAGACATCATTTCAGTACTCCTGATCCCTCTGCAAGTCAGCCAGATCTCAATCTCTCTAAGGTCTTGGTTTGGATAAAAAGTGCTTGAGCAGCAGCGGAGGCACAGAGCAGGATTGCTCTCAAGAAGACGTGGTGCGCTGCTCACTCGTGTGCGCCGGCCTCATTGAGAGCAATCCCGCTGTGCACCTTTGCTTCCTTTCACTTGGACGGAGCAAAGAAACTCAAGCTGCTGCTGCTCAAACACCTTTTATCCAAATGGAGATCTTTGGGAGATGAGGAGCTCCATCTGAGTGTGAATACAAAGCTTGAAAATGCAGCAAATCACTGCGTTTCCAAGGCTCCCATGGGTGCTCAAACACCTTTTATCCGAACGGAGATCTTGGGGAGCACCATCTGTGTGCGAATGCAATGCTTGAAAACGCAGTGAAATTGCTTCCTTCTGAACTGCCCCATTTGCTCAGAGGGAGAATCTAGTTTCCCCAAGGTCTCCCTTTGGATAAGAAGCTGATGTGCGCCTATCTGACGTTTGAAAACGAAACGATTTGCTTCGTTTTGAACCGCCCCATTTGCTTACAGAGGGAGAATCCAGTTTCCTCACGGTCTCTCTTTGGATAAGAAGTTTATGAGCAGCAGCAGCAGCTTGGGTTTCTTGGCTCCATCTGAGTGGAGGAAAGCAGAGGTGCAGCAGCAGGATTACCCTCAATAAGGCCGGCACACACAAGCAAGCAGCGCACCCGGGTCTTATTGTTTGAGGGCAATCTTGCTGCTGTGCCTCCACTTTCCTCCACTCAGATGGAGCTGAGAAACACAAGCTCCTGCCTCCGCTTGAGTGAGGAGGACAAAGAGGAAGAGAAGAGCTGTGAGGATTTGTGCCAGCCGGCCGGCCAGGCAAGGACTAGGTCGGGTGGGGTGGCTGGCTGGCTGGCTGGGAAGGGGGATCATGATCGCTCAGGTGGTTGCTGCGAGCTGCTCAGCTGTGCCATGGACGGTATTGGTTCTTGTGCCCGGCTGACTCTGATTCCATGCTTTGTCCCATAAGTGTGCAAATGAAGCAAACTCTTCTCCCCCCCCAGAAAATGGAAGCTTCCAGGGGCCATGATCTCTTTTGCAAAGAATGGGTGTTTGAACTCGCACGATATTATGGCACCCAGGAACTTCCATTGTCAGCACGAAAAGCATTTGTGGCAGAGGAGATATATTTTGCAAGGTAAGTGACTCCGGCGCGGCAGGAAGGGAGGGGGAAGCAGTTGTGAGGAGTGGGGAGGTGAATAGGATGAATACTGCAGAAACTCTGCGGTTGCTTGTAAGGGCGAACGACTACCGTGGTGCTGCAACAGTCATAATTGTGGGGCTTGCTCGTAAGCACTAGGGGGCGCTGATCACATAACTTTGAATGAGCGTTAAGTGAACGATCATAACTTGAGAATTACCTATATAGACATGATGATGATAATTTTATCTTTAAAAGAGCAAGCGTTTCTATGGAGTTGCAGTCCAAATGGCCTCTTACCTGTGACTGCCAAACTAGTTACAGTTGCGCTGGTTAAAGGGAGCCCAGGGTTGACAGTCAAAGTGGTAGCTGCACTGCTTGTCACAAGGCTTGGCGTAGTTGCCACCTATAGATCAAAACAAAATAGCTGAAATCCTAAAAAAAGGATGTCACCAATGAATAAAGGAGTCAAATGAAAACTTCTATATAGCTTTAGATTTTCACAAGAAGCTACCTTTCGTTATTTTTAGAAAATCATTAATCTTTCTAAGTGTGGAAGAACAAAATTAAATATATTAGCATACTACAAAGGCAGAGTTAAATGCAGTATTCAAAGTGGCATGCCTTAGGCATAAATATCTTTCTTCATCAACTACAAAACAGAAATAATAAGAACTGAACTGTGTACATTAATGTCCACTCATGATAAGTTTCAGATTTTGAGATCCTTAGGAGCAAAAATATTAATATCATCCTCTTGCTATTCTTAGCAAGAATTGTCAAATTATCTCCCAATCTAACATAATTCAAATGGTTTTGAATTTTTACCAATGAAGTTGGACAAGGGAACATTGCTTTGATGGGCGAGTTGCTGGTTCCACCACTACTAGGTGGGTTAATTCTTTTTTCCTTCTGGCGCCGATTACAGAACCAAACACGGATCACCTCTTTTTCCATTTTCAGCTGGTCAGCTATCATGGTTATCTCTTCCGAGGTAGGCTTTTGGTTCTGAAAGATAAACCATTTAGACTATTTTCTGTTGCATGATATCATTTGGATTATATTCCTTTCTGCCGGTATTTTAAAAGGAAACTACAATAATAGAAGTAAGTACCACAGATACGCTAGATACAAATGATATCTTATTACAAAGTAAAATAAATCTTTATATCCCTATAAAATATGCGGCGTTTGCTTCATATTTTAACTGCTAGAATACTTTATATGCCTCTCACTGGAAATCACATATGATTCATTCTCTGAAAGAATAGCAGACTAAGTTGTGAACATATCCTTCGGTGTCAAAAATAACTTTTTATTTAGAAAAAAAAGTCTGATGTGGAATTGAATTTAGATCTTAATTTTACTTATGGAAAAGTACTACATCTTAAGTTTGGAATTCTCTTAACACAAGGTTTTAAATGATTAAATCTTGCCTGAATTGTTGCAATAAGAATAGATAATATTCAATTAGATATTTTTTATAAATAGCTCATTCTGTTTAATGATTCTTATTATACTCTCTGCCTTGCTAATTACTGAATAATATCTTAATAATCATTTTGAAATAATATACTGATATAACCATTACCTTTATATCCAGTGCTAGTCTAATGTTACCTTGAAAATTCTTATTCAATTTTATACTGCTTGTAAATCTTTCTATTTTTTTTCTCTTTTCTTTTACGCTCTTTCTTTCTAATACATCTTCAATTATTTATTAAAATAAAAATATAAAAAAATGCAAGGGACATATCAATGCAAAGATGCACTTGTTTGTGTGTGACCTATTTTCCACAAAAGTCCTAAAACAGTGTGCATATATGAGCATTTGCGCTCCATTTCATCAACTTTTTTTTTTTTTTTTAAATATTGATATATCTTATATACCAGAATAGTACAGTGCAAGTACCGACCTCCAGGAAACTCTTCTCTAAGGCCACACGTATGTTGGTCTCTATGCTGGTGCGTTTCTTCCTCCTACGGTTCAAGCCTTCAATCCCCAGCCCTGGAGAATTCAGGGCACTTGGGCTGGAAAGAGCTGAATCAGATGAGAGGTTTTCTGCAAAAAGGTCAAGTTAATCATGGTAATTAGTGTAACGTAAGCAGGAAGTTAGTTTAAAGAAAGTAAATTTCATTCATTGTGCTTGCCTAAAAACATACATACATTCCAAAGTTCTATTGTTTGGGACCTGAAGCTCATATGTACAAATCCATTCCAACGAAACAAGCAGCTCACCCACTTGCAAAAAGAAAGGAGACTCAGAATTCCAATGAATGAAATCAACTTCCCACAACTATATATACTAACATCTTATTTATTAAACATATGGTTTTACACTGTGGTAAACTGCATATATCCTTATTTAGAATAAAAGTTTGATGTCCACCACTCAGTATTTTTTCTCAAATATTTTTTAACACTTGTCTTAGGAACATAAAATTTTATGAAATGCTTATGAAGTTATTTTTAACAGAAAACAACTATAAATAAGACACAGATATGGAAAAGCTTTAAGCTTTAGCCAATACTGCACAAGATTTTTTTTTTGAAAAATCTGACAAGTTTTACTCGTAAATCCTATTCCACATTTTTGTGTGTGTAATGCATTAAGTCTTCTACAGATATATTCCTGTATTTATATCCTCAGGAAAATTAACAGGAAGCATTTTCAGAATTCCAGAAATCTGCTGTGAAATTATGAGAAAATCTAGACAACAATTTACCTGCATCATTGAGCCACTTTTCCAGAAGTGGTTTTAACTTGCACATGTTCTTAAAGCTGAGGTTCAAGGCTTCAAAGCGAGAAATAGTAGTTTGACTGAAATCATTTCCATATAGTTTACCCATAGCGAGCCCAACATCACCCTACAAGGACGAAAAGACGGTAATTTGTTCCGGATATCAGATGTAAGAAGATTTCTACTCAATATGTAAGAGATGGTTTTCCACCTTCAGTAAACTACTATTGTAGAATATCTGAAATACTTATTGCATACAGTATAATATGTTCATTTTATATCTGCAATATCTCTTAAAAACTTGCCACAGATGAGTTAATCCCACCTAAGAGATTTTCTATGGGAAGTTATGAAGATGTTTTTATAACATAGATCCATATCGAAACATGCAATGCTCCATAATATTAAGTGTGAGCTCTATCTAAACCAGAAGTTCTTTGTTAGCACATTATTTTTAGGAGTCCAATAGATATGCCTCAAAAGTCCCTTATCAAATTGGGTGCCAAATATCCAATAAGCATTTATTTAAATATATCAGTCTGAATAAACATTAAATAATATTGCAAATTTATAAATAAGAAACCACTTCTAATTGGGAAAAGTGATTGAGAGTCTCAGATCTGAATACCAGTGACCAAATTCCTTCTAAATGGATTTGTGGTCATACCTGAGTGAATCCAAGTTTGATCCGTCTTTGTTTAAAAGTCTTGGCAAATTGCTCAAGCTCCTCAAGATCACTGGGCTCTTCCAAGCTGGGTGTATCAATTCGCTTTGGTGTTGTCTGGCTCTGTGGAAGTGGCTGAATAGGGGTCGCTGCTATTGTGCGTGTTGGGGTTGCTGGCTGCTAAGAAATATGGGAAAACAGAGTAATATGAAAAGTGCAGTAATAATGTACCACAACACAATTGTCTTGTGTTCAATTCAAGTGCACTTGCACTCAATAGTTTATGTCACTATGCCAGAGGTTCTCAAACTTTTGTGGTATACAGAACCCTTGCTTTCTCAGTAAATTTTTCCATGGTGCCCCAGGGCAAAATAAATACCAAACAATTATTTTCACTAAGTACAGATAGTCCTCGACTTACAACAGTTCATTTAGCCACTGTCTACAGTTACAATGGCACTGAAAAAAGTGACTTATGACCATTTTTCACACTTATGACCACTGCAGCATCCCCATGGTCATGTGATTTACATTCAGATCTTGATATGTGGTTCATATTTATGACGGTTGCAGTGTCCCAAGGTCACGTGATTGCCCTTTGTGACCTTCTGACAAACAAAGTCGATGGGGAAACCAGATTTATTTAACAACCATGTTACTAACTTAACAACTGCAGTGATTCACTTAACAAATGTGGCAAGAAAAGTCATAAAATGAGGCAAAGCTCACATAACAAATTTCTCACTTAGCAACATAAGTTTTGGGTTCAATTGTCATCATAAGTCGAGGACTACCTATAATTAGGTCAAAATTTAAAATATCCCATGGCGCTCCTGTGAGTTTGCTGTTGTGGCTTAGGGTGACGTGACAAAGTTTGGGAACTGCAGCACTATGCAGTGTGAATGAGCTAAGGAATATGATGCATTTATTGCATTTCTAACCACGGTCAATAATAATTCTTGGAAGCTCACTGGGATTCAGAAAAATTAAACATCCATGCTATATTTAAAATTACAGTTCAGTCACTAAATGATAAAATTTATACATATAACAAGATCAGCATAATTTAATAAAATTACACAAGATGGCACAACACATAAAATATATAGAATACTCTCTAAAAGAGCTCAATCATCCTGAAAGCAATCATAATGGGGGGCAGTATAATCTCTACTGAAAAATTATTCCAAAATAACAGTTTTACTATTGAAAAGCAGTGCCTCCTAGCTTTGATTCAATTTGTTTCTTGAAAGCGTGGGAGTGCAAGATTTTCTCTGAATGACTAAGTAGATTGGGAAAGATCAGGTTGTAATAACTAGTCCTGAAACTGTCAAGAGTACCAAACCACGGAGGACATCATAGTCTTAAAACCAGCATTTTTAAAGTTTACTTGGAAGATAATTAGGCAATGTATGATATTGGTGTTATGTACTCCTAGGAATGTGTGTCAATTATCACATGGTCAACAGTGTCCTGGAAAAACCATATAAGTAAAATTGATATCACAATAGCTATTTGGAAGGAAGTTAATACTTTCAATTATTTCAAAGTAATAAAAATGAAGACAGATATTTTTGATATCAGGTATCAGGATAGCTTAACAGATATTTCACAATTTCTGAAAAGCTTTGATCTAAGAATCTCACCAAAGAGTCGTAGGCATAATCAAGCGCTCTCATGAACTAGCAATTAATTAAAACCAGGGAGCAGAGAGTAGGCATAAATTTTCAATTCTCACAAAGACCTAGTTCAGAACAACTTGTATACAAATTATATGGAAGTAGGGCTGAATAGCAGCAATAGGTGACTAAATCCAAAGTGATTTTAAAGAATGGGCTTTCCCAAGTGAATACAGTTCAAAGTAAACAAGTGTAAAGAGTTACATGTTGGCATTTAAAAAATCTAAAATTCATTGTATATTAATAGGATCTCAGCTGGTAGTAACTGACCAGGAAAGGTGATTATGTAACAATGGACAGCTTGAAAATGCTGCACAAAAGACGAATGTCATGGATGGAATACAGAAAGGGAACATTAGTACCAATATAATATTGCCATATAAATTTATGGAGCAATCGCCCTTGACTACTGTGTACAGTTCAGCACTGAAGTTAATGTAAAAAAGGGGGATAAAGCAGCTCCCATGAGGAAAGGCTACAGCAATGAGATTCCTTATCTTGCAATTAAGAATGGTATGGAAAGATATGATAGAATTATATAAAATAATTGATGGCATAGATAAAACGAATAGAGATAAAATTTTCTTCTCACTCTCTTAATGCTAGCATTCAAAATGATCCACCGAAAATAAACAGATGGAGATTCAGGATTGAAATAAATATTATTTTAAAAGCTTCTTCTTAAACTATGAAATAATAGAAAGAAAGATCTTGAAGAGGAAGAGGTATCAGAACATCTCTATTTCCCCTTCCATGATAAGGATCACTGGAATGGGGAAAGGCTATTAACTTAGCACCCTCACTTACTGTGATCAAGATGAAGATTGTGTTTGGGAAGAGAAATTATAACGAGGGGAGATCGACGGCATTATTCCCCTCTCATTCTCCTTTACACCTAAAATACTACGGTATGTTCCCAGTAGCCTACCAAATATTTGTTTGGAGGCAATTGAAAATGAAACTGAATTGGAAATGTTATTCCATGCCCCTCTTTTCCAGTAAATTTGTTGATGAGAAATACTGCAGCAATGTGTCACCCTACAGAAGATGACATGATAGGTATTTTGAAGGTCACCTGGGTTCTACAGATAATCCTGAAGAATGAGACCAACAATTCAAATCATGCACTATTTCTTCTATCCTCATCAGTTAGCAGAATTCATAAAACAAAATAAACAAACAATAAACTGACCTGAGAGGTGAAAGTGATGCTTGGCTGAGACTGCAGGAGGTTGGCTTGGCTTTGCTGAGGTAGTTGCGTTAAGAGATTCTGCGCTTGCAGGAGACCTGAAAATTGAAATGCATTTACATAAATGAAATGAATTAGCATAGTTTGCTGTAGTACAGGTTCTAAAAAGCAAAGATTTTTTGTATCATACAGTACTTGTAGCTCAGCCTACCGTTAAAGGATATCTATATTAAGCCCAATATTTCCTACAGAAAATCAGTCATATTCTATTCACCTCATGGCTTAATTATTGCCATGCGCTGTACATAGGGACTATCCTTGAATATCATTAAGAAGGTTCAACTGGTCCAGAATGCAGCAGTGTGGGGATGATACATATACCTCAGAATGTCTATGTGAGACTTCCACTTTACAAGCTGTACTGGTTGCCAGCATGCTCCAAGTGTGATTCAATATGTTGGTTATAACCTATAAAACTCTGCATGGCATAGGAACAGATTATTTGAAGGATCATCCATCTTCCCTGGTTTCTGCCTGGTCCACATGTGCTGATATAATTGATGTGTTCCATGTTCTTTTGATTAAACAGTGCTCTCTATCAGAATCCAGGAAATGTGACTTCTTTATCAAGGGGCCTGCTCTCTGGAATGAGGTTCCCACTGATATCAGTATGATTCCTACCCTGGTGACATTCTGAAGGCCTTAAAGACATTCCAGGCCTTTGGTTACTATGTGGTATATGTTTTTCCATGATTTTATCTGGAGCAAAACCACTCAGAGCCAGTGGTGTTGGGCAGTACTGAAATTATAAAAATAATAAATGCATTAAGATTATTTTGTGCTAACCAAAAGCATTCAGCAAATCATGTTTAAGGCATGTCCCTTTTGATTCCAGCTTTTTGTGCTTCCTTTAAGCAAAAACAAACAAACAAACGATGGACAGATCCAAAATATAAAGACACTATTCTCATAATAATAGAGTCTTCTAGAATGTTCATGGCATATCTATTCCCAGTGCTTTTTTTTGTAAAAAAAAAAAAAAAAAAAAAAGGTGCCGGAACTCACACATGTCAAAAACCTGACTTGCCTACCCTACAAGGTTCCATCCAAAAAAGGTGCCGGAACTCAGTTCTGGGCGTTCTATGAGAAAAAAAGCCCTGTCTATTCCATAGGTTTTGTTGGAAACAACCTCAGACAATTAATGATTACTCTTATATGCTTAAGCTTCAAGCAGGTGATCCAGCTGAACATTCCAAAGAAATGTAAATTTGTTGCTGATTAATCAATATGCAATTAGAAAAAAAACTATTTTAAAATATATTCCTTTATCTTTCACAGCTACTGTAAGAATAAATGATTCTTATAAAGAAACACCGAGTAGATGCATTCTGATCACATGACTAGTCAATCTGATGGTTCCAATAGAACAGTTTCTTTTTCTCCCAAAAGAAGCATGCCTGTAACCAATTTTTTTTTTAAATTTCTCAAAAATACAGGAATTTGCTATATGAAAAACTCTAAAAGATCACCTCAGAAACGTTTTGCTTACCCTGCTGCCCCTGCGGTGTTTGTGAGATGATGAACTGTGCTGGTTGCAAGTTGGTTGTTGGATGCACCAAGACAAACTGTTGCAGATTGAGATTTTGTTGCTGGAGCTGCTGTAGATGCTGCAGATCCTTCAAGAAGGAAAACATTATGAGATATCCAAAACTAAACACCTTCTCCTTCTCCTTTTTAAAATAAAGCCAAAGGAAGAAGGATCCCAAACATTTTGTTCCCTGAACACGATACACCTACGTACACCTTTGAAGAATATACACGGAACAAAAAGGGTTCAATCCATTTTATCATCCCTTCCACTGAAAAACTTTTCAAGTTTTCAGATATGCTGCCATGTTCGTAACAGAAATAACTTCTTAATACTTAGCAAATGCTGATGTTTCAGGCTGGCTCTTTCATTTTCTGTACCTGTCCCTTGCTGATAGGGAAGTTGTGAAAGGGCAGGAGAAAAGCCATTTTTGTTCTCATCAGTCAACTGGCTCATGAAAAAGGCAGACTCCCACTGAGATTTTCTGCAGCAACCTTCAATAACAGGAAGATCTAATGGGTTCTGCCTCCTTTTTTCATGCACCTACTTCTGTGCAAGCAGTTGGCATTTTTAGAGGGGGGGGGAAATACTGCCTTTCTTTATTACCTTTTCTCCTTTCTAGCCAGCAAAACGTGCAGGATTTCCCCACTTATGCATGAGGAGCAAGGGATGAAATATAAATGAGGCAATGTACATTTTGGAAATGGCCAGGACCAATCCATCATCATCATCATAATGTTTTTCTGCATTAAAAAAAAATACTGGGAATCATACCGATGGTGTCATGATGACCACTGAAACATTAGTAGCTCTTTCAGAGGCAACAAATTGGTCGACAAGCAGAATGGTAAAAATGGATTCTTTTATGATATTCAAATAAGTGCTACATTATTTATATCATATATTAGTCTATCATATTATACTGCTGTATAACAATATTATTAACAGAACTAGACAGAAGGCAAGAAACACCACTACCTAATTTTTAAAGATCTGCTTAATGTATTCATACAGAAATCGATTAATTAAATGAAAATTAATTAGTCAAGGCCAATTTTTTCTAACAATAAGAGCAATTCTCTAATAGTATTAATGGACTTTCCTTTACTAGATGTGTTCAGATACAGGCTGAGACTGATTTACCATTTGTCACTAATGAATTTGATTCCTGTACGTAGCACTAAGATTTTGACTTAATGGTCTATGTCAGGGGTAGTCAACCTTGGCTCTTTTATGACTCGTGGACTTCAACTCCCAGAATTCCTGAGCCAGCACAGCTGGCTCAGGAATTCTGGGAGTTGAAGTCCAGGAGTCATAAAAGAGCCAAGGTTGACTACCCCTGGTCTATGTGCTATTTGGATGATCTTCCAAATCACTGATTCCACTGACTAAATCTATTACAAGAAATAGTTATTTGGTAATATGTTATAAAAGAAATTCAAATAAGAAAAGCCATGTTGTTAATGATAAAGAAAATGACAAAACCATTTTCTTCAGTCTGCAGTGTGAAAGATTCCAGAGCAGCGGTCCCCAACCTTTCTGACTTGATAGCCAGACAGGGGGGGGAGGGGAGAGAGGGGATGGTTCTGTGCAAGCAGCAGGTGCATGCATACAACTGGAGCTATGCATGGGTGTGTACTCACCTGCTGCTTGCGCGGCCTGGTTCCGAATTGGGCATGGGCCAGGGGTTGAGGACCCCTGATCTAGAGGTTATATGAAGATCTGGACATGAAGTTTTGCTTTGCTGATTCCACAGTTCAGCTTTATCAGCTAAGCTTCCTACTCTCACTTTCTACTTTTTCATTTCCTTCCTTCCTTACGATTGAATAGTAATGGATTTAAAAAGTTACACACACACACAATAATAATAATAATAATAATAATAATAATAATAATAATAATAATAATAATAATAATAATAATAATAATAATAATAATAATAAAGTTGGAAGCGACCTTGGAGGTCATCGAGCCAACCCCCTGCTCAGGCAGGAACCCTACACCATTTCAGACAAATGGCTGTCCAGTCTCTTCTTAAAAACTTCCAGTGTTGGAGCATTCACTGCTTCTGGAGGCAGGTTGTTCCACTGGTTAATTGTTCTGTCAGGAAGTTTCTCCTTAGTTCTAGGTTGCTTCTCTCCTTGATCAGTTTCCATCCGTTGCTTCTCGTCCTGCCTTCAGGCGCCTTGGAGAATAGCTTGACTTTCTCTTCTTTGTGGCAGCCCCTGAGATATTGGAACACTGCTATCATGTCCCCCCTCGTCCTTCTCTTCGTTAAACTACCAATTCCAGCAACCGTTCCTTATATGTTTTAGCCTCCAGTCCCCTAACCATCTTTGTTGCTCTTCTCTGTACAGAAAGATCTCAGAGTCGTAGAAAAAATGTAGCACCACTGGTTTTGACCTACGTCATAAGGTTCACACCGGAATGATTCCGTAACATTTCACCATAATTATGAAGTGCACTAGAACTAAGATAGGGAGACAATTACGTCGGGTCGTGACACAACCGAAAAAACCGTCGACGTCGTCACTGCTGGCTCATATTTAAGTGACTGTCCAGTAGAACTCAGAGATCCCTCTCACAGTTACTACTGAGCAAGGTACCCCCTATACTATACCTGTACATTTGATTTTTCTTGCCTAAATGTAGAACCTTACTTTTTTCACCACTGAATTTCATTTTGTTAGATAGCGCCCAGTGTTCAAGTCTGTCCAGGTCCTCCTGTATCTTAAGCCTGTCTTCTGGAGTGTTGGCTATTCCTGCCAGCTTGGTGTCATCCACAAATTTGATGAGTTCCCCGTCTATCCAGTTACTGTGTACCCAAGACATTCTCACTACATGATATATAATGGATCTAAACTTCAGCTATTCTGTGAACAAACAAAAGAAGACATATTTGACCAACTAAAGCCATTAACAGTTTGAACCTCACCTGTGCAATTTGTATCGGCTGAGATAGAGGAATCTGTGTCATGGGCGTTGCAGCAGAAGCTGAGATGGTGGCCCCTGCAGCATTGTGCTGCTGACTGGCTGAATGCTGCACTGCAGCTGCCAGCAACTGTGCCTGTGCCTGTTGTAACAATAATTGCTGCTGGGCTGGTGTTAACGTAAGCTAGAAACAAGTTTTAGGATAGTAATTAATAAAGGAAAGGAACAACTGCTTTCTTAAATATTACTGTTAATTCCTGAGAAGTTTTTATTAGATAGGCTATTTTATATTAAACATTTTTTGATTCAGTTAAAAAAAATCAAGCTATCCAGTTAATTTTACATCACCCAAATGGGGCTGGCATGTGTTTGTGACCATTCGTACCATTGGGATCAGGGAAGCAAGATTCTCTATGACTTTTCTTCAAGATCAATGTGAAAAAGGTAATTAGCAAGCAAGCAATGCAGAGAAACAGCACTGACAGGAAATAGCAAGCAAAAAGAACAAGCCATCATTGACAGGCTTTGAAAGGAAATTTACATCCACCAGAAGCACAAGCGATTAGCCAGATGAATGAAAAATAGCAATGCTGGCTGTGGTTACCAAACAACTGATAATACTCCAGCTGCTTCATATTAGTATGAATCCCTGCCATGTTCCATCATCCCCATTATGCCTTAAGATATAGATGAGGAACATGTGCACCATTTGTTCCTTTCCAAGGCACCCCCTCTTCCGTCTGTCTTTTTGTTTTGATAACATTGAGCCGGTAAGTTGACATCTCTGCCAGTTTCCAAACATGCATTATCTCTATGAAACAGGTGGCATCGAACTCCCTCTGACACATTAATATTCTTCCCAGTTTCTGTAATGAGAGAGCTGCTAGGTTCAAAGACCTGGATCCACTCCCTATATTACAGGCAAGAACATTTCAGCAATATGACCCCAGACAGCATTTGAAAAAGCCTGAAGGATGCTGAACAGGTCCATGCAAATATTCACACATACTCTTATCATAAGCCTTAAAGAATGATACTCAGATTACAGTAAAATTGTGATTTTTATGTTATTTAGCTATTGTTATGGCATACATTTGCTCAATTGAAAAATATACAAAGAGCTCAACTGAAAAGCCTATATAAAGAGCTTTTCATCTCCTGCCAACTTTTAAAATGTTAATCTAAGGGTTCATTTTTCTATATGAAAAATAGAATGTCAACAAACCAAAATATGTAATCAAAGTTACTCTTTAGAATGAATATTAAAATACCTGATCAATATTCATGAATATGAGAGTGAGTTCATTGTGACTTCAGAGACACCAATACATATCTTATTTCAATCATGTAATAAGTTACATTGCCGTTTCTATGATGCTACTGATCTTATCACAAATAGCTTATGTTTCAGAAGAGTAGAAACAAATATGTAAAAATGCACTAATGTTTTAGGCTAAGAGGCTTTGTTGAAATTATCTATATCTACAATCACTAATATTTTGCAACAGAGCTGCTGTTGCTTAGGAGATTTCAAATGAATTTATTGTTGAAACCAGCAAGGACAACTTTTGCCACCACATATAAAACTAAAAGTGTAAACTTAAAACATTAATACAATATATTGGGCTCAGAGATCAAAAGACTACTCCATTACACTCTAGAATATCATATGAAATTGCAATATTTAGAAGAAACAGCAAAGAGAAGTTTTGTACTTTCTCTCTTTACACAGAGTAATTATATAACAATCTCAGTGTTATGGCCTTGTCAGAGATTTACAGGAATGCATAATATTGATAAATTCAGATTCACTGGGATTACTTCATTTTCCTTTTTGGGTTGTTTGGCTAATACCACAACTTGAGAAGGTTGCTCATTCTCATTCTCATTCACTATAGCTGATCTTACCCCAGTTATCTGCCCTCCAGCCAACATAAGCTGTGTTTGCGGTATGGCCGCCTGAATTGAAGGCTGCTGTGAAGGCTGGCTTGGCTGTTGAGTGTCCCCAGATTCTTCATTAGATTTAGACTAGAGAAAGAAAAATACAAAGTTTGTAGAACACAGCAGTTATTAGTATGGACAAAAACATATTCTATTATAGTGTTTTCCCTTTTCATTGAATGTGAATTAATTTGTTTGTTTTTTAAAAAAACTTTTTTTAAAAGGCTTATTCGTTTCTGTAAGTGAGCACAGATAATAGATGGGGGTTGTATTTGCTTTCATACCAGTAAAAAAACAAAATATTTAGAACAAAATAAAAGAGCAGTAATTTCAGGTTATTTTCTTAGTTGGATATAAATGAATATGTTGAGTACATAAAACCTCTGATTTATTATCTCCCTGTCATTTATGTATTGGTTTAAACCAATACATTAATTAGTGCTGCTAAAGCTTCCAAACTTTCCTAGTCAATGCAATGTTACTGATATTCTTAGATGCACACCTTCACCAAGTATGTGACATTGCCCAACCCTATTAATTACTGGGAAAACCATTACTAATACACTGAAGCTTTGGATCAGAGGATCACAATTTCCATGCATCCATTTTATCAATATGGCATTCAATTTAAACAAAATACTAAAATGTTTGTATACAAAAAGTACCAAGGGAAAGAAAACCAACACTCAGAATACCAATATTATTCCTGGTATTTATAACAGCAAGCTCAGTTTACATATTTAAACTATTTTACAGACAAACAAATTAATATAGCCACAAGGTAGGAAATGCAAGCAAGAAAGCAAAAGAAAGATGGGGAAAAAAGCCCAAAGAGGGTTTATGCTAATTAAAATTGCTTATGGAGAACATTAAAATTCTGCATAGATTTGCATATTTTCCACCACCTGTTTTGGGGACCACAGAGCAGGCTAATTAACATAGAGGCTCTGATTAATTCTGCCAGTCATTGAGAGATAATTACAGCACAGGACTGTAAACATTCTGCACTGGAGATATAGCCTGTTTGCCAACATCTCTCTCTGGGATTGAAAATTTACCATGGCAACCAAGTCAATGTTCAGCCTCTTTTTTACAGAAGAAGGTCACTTTTCCTACGCCTTTCAGAAGCATCATTTGTAACTAGATGTGTGTTCTAGAAAGCTTCAAGAATAGTCTTCGGTCTTTAGCATTCTGATAATGAAGCCACTTCAAAATACTGTTTGTTGTATTCCTTTTCTTTTTTTAATATATTGCTTGAATGTCTTAATAAGAATCAGAGGATCACAATGTGGTATAGCATCATACAATACACAAAGCGTATTTAGTCAGCTATATATCTTTGATAGAAATGAACAAGTTTTAGATTCAATTATTGAAAATAAATGTATTTTCTCCAATATTGCATAACTTTCCAAAATGATATATTAAAAAGGTAGGATAAAAGGATGATGATGATAATATCTGCTTCCGTAATATAAAAGGAGCTCTTTTTAATAGTTTTAACAGCATTAATTGCTGTTGAACACCTAAGTTAATGATTATTGTGTCACACTATTGTGTCACAACTAAATGGATTCAGACGGATGAGAAATTTATAGTAACTCTTACCTGTACATTTAAGGACTGGGCAGCAGCTTGTAAACTTGATCCAGGAAGCTGAACCTATAAAAATAATTCATTTTTATGAATAGAATCAGTAAAACGGTTGCAAAATTTTCCCAGCTTGAAAAACATATACCGGTAATAAGCATTATGTCTTAAATACTACTTAAACCCCTAAGGCTATAGGTAGATGGGTTAATAAAAAATATTCTAGTTAGCAGAATGCAATGGCAATATTGCCAAGAAAACTACACTGATATGAAATCATGATGAGTGAAATTTGTTAGGAGATTGAATCCCATTGGAGAATTGAACTGATTTGGAAAGATTCAGGAACTGACTAAATCAAATCACCATTTTTATGAAGCAGAAAAATCAGAATTTCATTGAAAGTTCATTAGAAATTTGGTGGAACACAGAATCATAGATAATATGCATCTCACTAAATGTAAATTTCTTCAGATTTTAGTACGCTGTGTGAATCCAGATTTGTGGGTGGTAATGCATTCTTTACAGGTTAAAAATCACTCCAATGAAAAGTTTTACAATGTTCTTCTCAAAGAGACCAGGGCATCCTTCTACAGAAGCTAAACATTTTTTTTTAAAGCAGAGGTTTTCTCTGTGTTGTGTATCATTTTCATAAGAACACAAACTTCCAAATTATAAAGGATATGAATTTTCCCAAGGATGTGTTTCCCTCAGAAGGGGAATAACAAGTAATGTATTATCTGCTTCCTTTAAAAAAAGTTTAATTGTGGTTATCACAAAAAATACAAAAAAAGCTTCTTCTGCTTGCAAGGGGCTATTGTATTTTTAAAAATTGCCCAATTTTGACAAAGAAAGTTATAAATTTTTCTATTATGTTTAGTCTGAGGCATTACTTTTGAAGTGTTTGACATCAAAGATTCAGAATCAGCAAAAGCTGATAAGACAGCTTTGAATCACTCTTTAAGGCGTGAATAACTGAACTGGGATAGAAACTACGGTAAATATTGTAAGCAATACACATCCCAAGATCAAGCAACAAATCAGAAATTGAGTAATATCACATTATTGTACAACGTTAGAAAGGATATCTTAAAATGTAAGGTTATAGCACTTTTTATTTTTTTAAAAAGTCCAAAAGAGATGCATTATACACTCTGTTGAACTACAGCATAGCTCTGGGAACTCAGATATATTATTCAGGTAGCATATGATATATGTAAATAGGAGACATAAACTAGTAGCTAGTATATAAGCAAATATTGTTTTCAAACTTTTCCTACATTTCTGGATTGGCTTCCACAAAAATATACGCATGCCATCTGCCACCAAGCAAGTAATTATCCTATAAAAAAGCAGTGCCAACATCCAGTTTAATCTGTCTGTTCGGTAGTATGAGAAAGAATAGTATTCATTAGAGAGGTTTGCAAACCAGCATTGCAACATAGCTGTTTTAAATATATGGCGAAGGTAAAAACTTGCAATTTTTTCTGTTCCAATTCTTTTTGTAGTATCAAATTATGAATACATTTATCTTACACATCATTTGCAAAAAATACTTAAGAGTATTTTAATGACAACTAAGTTCAACATACTGCATTTTTTTTAAAAAAAATCTCATTAGTTAATTGTAAATGATGCTATATTCTGCAGTAAAGATATCTATTTGGCCTAAATTTTATTTTTAAATAAATTCATCCAATACTGTAGAGGAGCCAATTGTCACAGATATTCAGTATTCTTCCTCTCACTAAAAGTAAACTCCAAGGCAGCTCTGAATAATGTTTTACAGCATATATTTTTTATTATAAAAGTATGAACCGGATATCAGTTTGAACCATAAAGCACACACATTTGCAAGAATGCAGTCATTTTGCCAACTAATCTTGCAAACCACGTGAACCTAAAAACAATACAATATGTTATCACTGAACATTTTATAGTTAACTAGACAATTGTGACCCATTGGGTTATCATTTCAAATATTCAAATATTTCCTTACCTAAACAAAAAGGCAGAATAACTATGGGTGAGCAAAAAGCAGTGGGAATGGGAACAATTTCTGACTTCTTGCTGGCTTTCCCATTGAGATTCCTTGTAGGAAACTGGCAGTAAATCTTCTGGCACTATCAGGTAACTGCAGCTAACTGTGACGGTGCAGCCACTAAAGCTGCCACAACTTTCCCACATTTTAATCACACAGGTTTTACATGCATTCTGTAAGTTAGTCCATCTGATATACCGGTATGTTGATTCCAAAATGGTGCTCCTATGATGCACCATTTCACCAATTGAAGGTTACAAACAATCAGACACAAGAGTTTAGTAGTATATAGATGGCAAAAGCCTTTTATACCTACTGCCTAGTGACAAATTTATATATATTCTAAATCAGGTGTCGCCAACTTTTCTGGATTGGCGGCCCGGTGGGAAAGGGAGGGATAGGCACCTTATTGGCACCTGCACACACACTGGTCAACCACTCACGCAGCCCGCTGGCCAAGAGGTTACAGCCTGGTAGTGGGCCGCAGACCACAGGTTGGGGACCTCTGTTCTAAATGATCTTAAAATGTACTTTAAAAAAAAAACTAAACACAAAGGGACTCTCATACCTCCATCTGAGCCTGAATCTGCGGAGGAAAATGAACTGGAACGGGACCCTATGGAGGCTGAGGGAGAGGTGTCTGTGGCTTCAGAGGAATGTGGGGAAGAGCAGGCCGAGGCAGGCCAGAGCCCTTCAGGATTGGAACAGGAGGAACAGGAGAGGCAGAGTTCAGGCGATGAGCAAGGGCCACCCCCACCTGATCCTAGAGCACTGAGAGTGGAAAGAAGGAGGGAACAATGCAGGCAGGCTCAATTACTCGGGAGGAGAGCATTCCGCCCTTCTCCACAAGGAACATCTGGAGATTGAGATTTGTCGGGAACAAACGCTGGTTCTTGGAGTGTTGTGTATTGTTGCTGATCTCTTGTTCTGTGACTTCTGTTTGGAAACCTGGAAACTCAAACTATTGGATTGACTGACCATATTACTTGAATGTTTAGAGACCTCGGACTGTATTTCGGATTCTCTCTTTTGAAAACTGCTCAGGCAAGCTAGGATTCAAACAGACTCGTTAAGTTTATGTTTTCTTCCTTGTTATCTCTATGGCCTTGAGTAATTTCTTATGCTAATCAGACTGTATTTGAACCTACTTTCAGGAAGAGTCGGCTGAAGAGGTTTGTGTGTGCTGTTGTTGGAGGCTTGCCAGCAAAAGTGGGAGCATTTGGGGAAAATTTGGAGCAATAAAAGAACTGTTTGAATTGCCAGCTGACTGCATTGCCTCTGTGCTGTGCCCTGGGTCATCACAGGGACAGTGGACAATGGATGAATGGAAGGTATTCACTAGAGGTAGTACAGACAAAATTATTGAATTGTTCCAATATGTGTATTGGTAAAAATTGATGCATGTGTAGCATTATGTAAATTTTCATGAATGTTCCTTGATCACCTACATGCATATACCTTATCACTGATCATTTTGTGTATTGCTGCCTTGTTTCAAACATCCAATATTCTACCACATTTCAGTTTTAGTGAACATTATAGGACCCAAGGCTAAACCAGCCAAATCACATTGATTTTGTTTACGAAAATATTTTTCCTGCACATCTCATCAAGATATTCTCTAAGCATAACCAAACTTGATTAAGCTAACCAATTTTCACAGGAGTACCAGCTATATGCTACATAGATTGTAGTACCTGGACTGGGCTTGGAAATTGAGGCAAATAATTTCTATGTTTTGCACAGGAAATAAATGGCTATGTCCAGAAAATCACCAGAACTGAAGTTCAATCTAAAGGAAATTCTATTAGGAAGCACAGTAGAGACAGTATTTTAAGCATATTGGCCTCAAACCATCCCAATGGTTGGATGAGCACATCCTGGGATAACATGGAACGCTCTAGGAAATATCAGGGTGTTCTGTGACAAGTATACAAAGTTTTATACACACAACTACTATAATACAGTAAACTTCTGAAACCACATTTTTTTGTTTAAGTTTGTTTTCTTCTCTGTATCTCAGAATGTTCATACAAGTAGAGGAATGCTTCTGCTATTGAATAACAGACTGTTACTGAAACAGGTTTTAATTAAATAGGACAATTTATTTTAAGTCAAACTGTGAATTAAGTCTCTCTTTTTTTTTAAAAAAATAACACTTTAGTGGGTTATTTGTACTAGGTCTATTGTATTTTCTACTAGAGGTAACTTATTTACTAAGTGTTTTCATATACGATATATTGTAATAAGACAGTTGGGAAAAAAGCAATCCTATATTCCATAGGACAAGTATTACCACCTAAATTGTCAGAAAATTCTAACATCTGTCAGACAAACAAATGGAAATATGAGACAAATTGATCTTCTAAAACAAGTTGTAGCAGGTGTAGAAGATATACTGAAGTCCACTGTTATCCCTAAAATAAATAGATAGATAGATAGATAGATAGATAGATAGATAGATAGATAGATAGATAGATAGATAGATAGACAGACAGGCAGGCAGGCAGGCAGGCAGGCAGGCAGGCAGGCAGGCAGGCAGGCAGGCAGGCAGGCAGGCAGGCAGGCAGAATTTATTTGCCACCCATCTCGCCGTGGAGCTACTCTGGGTGGCTTACAATAGTAGAAAGTAAAATTGTAAAAATAACAATACTGTAATAAGACAATGAAACAATAAAAATAAAGCACAGCAATATGAATTAAAAGATGGGCAAGTAGAGGGCAGGTTGCACAGGGGGAGGTGGGGTCAGGTAGTTAATGTATTGGGTCCCTGGCCAACTGGACGAGCCAGGTCTTCAGGCTCTTACAGAAGGACAAGAGGGTGGGGACAAGCCTTATTCCAGGGGGATGGATGTTAAAGATCATGCCTTTCTTTATTTTTATGGGAGAAAAGTACCTGACAGCCATTCATTCTTATAGATAACAGTGACCACCCCCCTTTAAAAAGAGAACTGTTTTCCACTTAAGAGTAAATGTGAGAAGGGGCAATCTATTGTAAGTTATAGTAAGATTTCCAAAATAAATAAAATCTGTTAAATAAATTCAAAAGGGAAACATTTTCTGACCTTTCTAAATTAAGATTCACTTTCTATTTTGGAAGACAGTGAAAACATTTATTATGTGCTCCCCAGAATTTGAAGACAGGGTTTGCTTTTGGAGTTGAGAAGTGATGGGTCTGACAAATTAACCTCCCACCATGCCAACATTAAAAGCCTCTTGACATATTATAAGATCAGGAATTGGAGAAACAACTGGAATTCTCAACTCATTCCCTTTTTCCTACTCCAACATACAAGTATGATTTTGGCAGTACACTAAAATGAGCAAGGAGGAATGCACAATTCTAAGTAGTATGTAAAAGTTGATTCTTTTGAGCAAGAACCTCCATGTAATCACATAAAGAATACATGCTATACAGAAAAAGAATAGGCAAGCAAAAATCTATGTCTTTTTATCTTATCAAAGTTAATGTATTAATAGACAATTTTGCTTTATTAGTGTTCTAAGATAGCCAAAAGTTTCCATATAATCAAACAATTTACAAATGCCAGCACATTGTGAAATTATGATTTAAGTTACAGGTTTAAATGTGTGATACATTAGAATGTGAAACTCTTCTTTCTCTCCTTATTTGCACTACACTAACTTCCTGACTTCATTTAACTCATTTAAACATGGTTTTTAAAAATCTGTCATCCTACTCTGAATATGACAATAGAAACAGCCAAGGAACTATTTTTGTTCAAATACTTTCAGCAATGGAGAGTTCACTCTTAAGTGGCAGACTCCTAATTCAGATTTTTTTTCTTTTTTATAATAAGAACCTGTAACGGAAAATTATTTTTACTATTAACGGCCACTTTTTTAAAAATAGAGTTTTACTGAAACATTTTAATGTATATACAATCACTGTGCTATCTCTTCTTCTATTTTTATATAGTTACCTCCATGTTTGTCAAATACCACTTGATTTGTAAAACAAAAAAATTTAAAAAATTTAAAATAAAAATTCAATGTCAAAATCCTTCATCTCGTTCATGATGACTACTGGAAATTCTTCTGTTAGAATTTTTTTTTAAATGCTAATAATTTTACCCCTAATTATCTGTTTAGCACTTAGGTTTCTAGTGTCTGAGAACAAGAGGTTTTGAAATCAAATGTCTGAATTACCCATGTTTCCTGTCCAAGTACATAAATCCAGTCAAGTGAAATCAAACCCAGTAAGGCATGAAACTTTTCAAACTTATTGCTTATGATCAAAAGGCGTGTGTTTGTGTGTGCGTGCACAAGTGCGCATGTACGTCTTCGAGACAGTGCTGACTTCCTGGCAACTGCCTGGACTAGTCCCCGCAGTTTTGTTGGCAAGATTTTTGGAAGTGGTTTGTCAATGCCTCCTTCCTATAGCTGACAGAATGTGACTTACCTCAGGGTCACCCAGCTGGCTTTGTATCTAAAACTTGAACTTGGGATTCAAACTCATGGTCTCCCAGTTTCTGGCCTGATGCCTTAACTACTGCATCAAATTGATTCTCTTTATTAAAATGATCCTAGTACGATAGTTGGATAATTCTAGACAAATTAATCAAATGCACCCCAAAGCCATCAACTGTTATTGATAGTAGCTTATACTTAGAAACTGAAAATAAGCAATAGTTCAAGCAGTGGTAACAATTATCATGATTTGCAGACTCTAGTCCACTCTTGAAAAATAAAATTGTATATAACTACTTTTAGCTGAATTTTGGTTTAAAGGTAATTTAAAATTATTACATTGCTCTGTTAATTATTGTCTTTTTCACAGCACTTATATTCCAAAAACCTTATGAATGTTCATAATATATGCAATTATTTAATATATGCAATTGTATCATATGTTAAGAATACTGTGCAATTTTGTGTAGATGTTCACGTATGCATGGATTCCTTCCAATGGCAATATGAGACACTGTACCAATGGACATATTACATGATCATGATATACTTTTTTTATATAGAAACAATTGGGCATTTTTGTGTTTCCATTGCAATTTTCAATTTTCTTCCACATATTGGCTGCTAAGTATTTCCTGAATCTGGCAGATTTTATAGAAGTTATTAAGATAGCCTTATATACTGTGTTAATCCTGAACATAAAAATTATCTATGTGACTTTTTTCAAGAGTCTGTATAAAAGAAAAAAAATGCTTACCTGATGAAGATGTCCAAGGAACGCCTGGGCTGTGGAAATTGCCCCTGGAATAGTAGGCACAGTCTGTTTCTGAAAGTCTAGGCCATTTGTCTGTGTGCCTGGAAAAGCAAAGTTATAACCAATTAAAATTCTTCTTAAAAGACAATTCTGAAAAAATTGCTGGTTCCTTAAAATCTCAGTAGCAATTCAAAGACCAAAATCTTAACATGCCTGTATTTTAAGTCTTGGTATTTAGCAACTTTTTAATATTACATATTTACTGTTCTATTTTAAAGCCACTTATTAATAACTTACAATAGAATAATGCTACTAAAATGTCCATCATAAAACTATAAAATCCAATTAGACAGGAATGCAAATACAGTAAATAAAGATCAACATAATAAAATACAAAGCATGATTTAACACAATTAGTAGATTATAGAAACTAATTTGCCAAAGGAAGTATAATACCTTAAAAAATGAGAGATACAAAGAAGTCTTATTCTGAAACCAAACAAAAATAAAACAAGTGCTATGCAACTTCTCAGATCATCCACTAGCTAATCACTATTAAAATGATTCATTCTTCATCCTTAGATAGGCAATTGGAAGATGTTCTCAGTGTGTGAAGGATACACATACTGTACTGCAGAAGGGTTTTATCCAATACTGGATTCTCAAGTGTTATGTAGCACTTCATAAATGAAATAAAACTCAATGAATTCATAAGAGTTTGGGGAAATATAAAAGGAATGACAAAATGAAAATGTAATACAGGTGATCCTCAACTTATGACCACAATTGACCCAAAATTTCTGCTGCTAAAGGGGATATTTGTTAAGTGAGTTTTGCCCCATTTATGATCTTTCTTGCCACAATTATTAAGTGAATCATTGTGGTTATTAAGTTAGTAACATGGTTATTAATTGAATCTGGCTTCCCCATTGACTTTGTTTGTCAGAAGATCACAAAAGGTGATCACATGACATCAGGACACCACAACCATCATAAATACAAGTCAAGCATCTTAATTTTGATCACATGACCATGGAAATGCTGCAATGGTCGTAAAGGTGAAAAATGGTCATGTCTTTTTTTTCAATGCTGTTGCAACTTTGAATAGTCACTGACAAACTGTTGTAAGTCAAGGACTATCTGTAATCAGAACACTTGAATAATATAGTTAGGGAAATTAAAAAGCACTTAAAAATATTAACACAAAAAACTTAAAAAACTTAAAATGAGAGTAAATATTGTAACTATAAAACAGGTTCTAACATTTCCATTTATATTACAAATTAAAAAAGAGCTGCCTGAATAAAATAATCCGAGAAATTAAGAGAAAAGAAAGAGGAGAAGATGAAAGGGAAAGGCTCAAATTCCACTACTGTTGAAATTAAGTTGAAGTAGTGCTGGTATTTCAAAATATGATAGTAATATAGTATCTTTATCTATATACTAAATTGCATAGGACCAAATTAGGGGCTACATGCAGCCCATGAGAATTTTCTTTTGTGGTCCCTAGATTCTTCCAGAGATTGAAGCTAAAAAGCTAGACTCCTTTTTTGCATTTTTGAGGCAATTTAAGAGGAACAATTAATGGTTTAAGTCTTGCAGTACTGGGCAATAGCCCTGACTACTTTTATAGTACAATCTTCAATGTATCACAAAAAATCTCAAAAGCTCTTCAGCCATTAGAAGTTATGCAACTGATACAGAATGTCTATGGAGATTCTCAGTCATCCAGGTCATCCCAAAGGTATCTTTTCAAAGAAAAACAAAGAAAGTCCAGCTGCCTTTTGAAAAAGCATCTTTGGGACAACTGATACAGAAGAAATAAAACATAGAACCAGATCACAGAAATTAAGTGATCATGGAAATGTTAATACAGTAAAAGAGGGAAAAATACAAAAGGTTCTAATATTTGTTTCATTTAAAATATATTATGATGCTTGAACACTTTTCACCAAACTGATTTTTCCAAGCATGGAATAATTGGGTATGCAGGCAGGAATAAACATGTTTTTCAACTTACTTAAAAGTTCCTCAAGGCTGAACATAACCAGAATTTCTGTTCTTGGAAAGAAATAAAAAAGTACTACTTTCTCTATTTGAATACAATATATGAATATAATATGAGCATTAGACAGATTAAGAATTATTATCCCAATCTATAGCTTCAACAAAATATCCTAACTTTGTAGATTTTCAAATTTAGCAACTTTTAGTGAAACTAGATAGAAGACAGGGACTACATTAGATGCTAATGAATGCTTCTTTGAGGGAAGGAATGGCATTGCTAGACTTGGAAGAGATGGAAAAGACTTCTCAAGAGACCATGTTCTAACCCAGCCATTATGGACAACTATTACCCATCTCCAATCTTTTCTTTTATCAAATATTGAGAAGGTGCTAGATGAAGCATTTTATCAGTCAGGGTTTAGGCATGAAGACAGAACACAATTCTCATTGGTTCCTGTTAAAAATGACCTGACATAGTCCTGCCTACTTTTATAGTATAGTTTCAACATGTCACACAAAAATTGGGGCAATTCTTCAGCCACCAGAAATTATCCATTTAGATGGGGAGAGGGTGCTGCTCTTTATCCTGCTTTATCTCTCAGTGGCAAATCTATCAATCAGTGATTCCATATCTTCCCAAGAAGGTCTCAGTAAGCTGATGGGGAGGGATGGCTCTTCAGCATTTCCTTCCTTTTAGTATCTACATGAAACCACTGGAAGAGATTGTCTGTTGGTTCAGGGAGACATACCATCAGTATGTAGATAATACCCTGCTGTACATTTCCACTCCAGGTCAAGCAGGAGATGCAATGGAAGTCCTGTCCTTGTGTCTGTAGGCTGTGAGGGACTGATGATAAGCTTAGTAAGAATCCCAGCAAGATGGAAGTTTTGTTTGTTCAAAAGCCCTCTAATTCCAGAACTGCTCCATCATTAGCTCTGGTCAGGATGCACTTCCCTTAAAAGAACAGGTTTACAACTTAAGGATCCCCCTGGACTTTAAGCTCCTGCTGAAAAAGCAAGTGGGGGCCATAGTCAGGACACCCTCTTCCCAGTTGCAGCCTTTTCTGGACCTGAAGCTCTAGCAATATCCTGGTTGGATTAGTACAGCCCACTCTTCATGGGGCAACCATTAAAGACAAGTCAGAAGTTATGGCTGATATCAACTACAGTTGCAAGCACTAGAATAACCAGTATTTGCAGAAACTACATTGATTACTTATTGGCTTCCAGGTCCAACTGAAAATCCTAGTCATTTTTTATTAATACTCTTTATTGTCAGTAATTTTTTGTTGATCCAAATAGATTTTGTCTACTCCAGAGGTCCCCAACCTGTGGGCCATGGCCCACTACTTGGCCGCGGCTCTTGGTCACCGGGCCATGTGAGTGGCTGGTCAATGCATGCACGTGTGCGTGCGCTCTCACTCCTCCTTGTACCAGCGCTACCCGAGTTGTGAGCCTCGCACCAATGGTAGCCGAGCTGCGAGCCTCGCAACGGCATTAGTAGAACCATGAGCCTTGCGTCGGCACTAGCCGACTCGTGAGCCTCACGCCAGCGTTAGCAGCCCCATTTGAGGAGTGTGCATGCTTGCAGCCCCCTTTGTGTGGACACATGCACAGTCATAATAGCGTGTATGCACATGAGTGCATAAAGGTGCCTGCCCCTTCCTTTCCCACCAGGCCGCCAACCCAAAAAGGTTGGGGACCCCTGGACTACTCCACACAGCCAATAAAGCAGGGTGAGGATTCCATGCTTCAAAATAAGATGGGAGATTAAATAAATATGCCTTTGTGGTAAACGTCCCTTCTGCAACAACTTGCCCCCTGAAGTTAGGATTGCCTTTAACTTGCTAGCATTCTCAAAAGCTGTGAAGACTCTACTTTTTCAATAAGCGTTTGGTGTAGAAGAGGTAACAATTGAGGCAACTACTCAAGGGGAATCTTTAGTCTAGCTGTATGAAGTTTTGTACTCATTTTTTTTCTTGTTGCTGTTCTGAAGTATAAATTGCCTACAATTTTTGAAGTAAGCAATATATAAATTTACAGATAAATAAAAAAGCAAATAATGTATTTTACTTTCTGATCAGTGAAACATTAAATGATTAGTTTTAATTTTCTAATTTGTAATTATGCTTCTGATACTGTAATAGTTTGTTTAGAATATAAGAAAAATTCAGGAAATTATTTGGAAACAACAATTTGCATGTTTCAGTTATCTGGGGGAGGGGAAGCGAAGCAGTCAGCTCATTAGTTCACAAGAGCACCACTAGGATGAACAACTGTTTGTCCTAATAAATTGAAAAATAAATTATTTTCTAAAGTGAAAGTAATTCAATTGCTGAAATTACCGTAACCTTATCCTTTCAATAAATCTTGTTAAAGAAATCTCTGTCCCAAGAGTATAATAGGAAAAGAGTATGACTAGTGACTTTACAGTAGTGGCCAAAATTTTGGAAACCTTTTGGGAAAAGTGTATTCTTGAGGTTTGATGGCTAATAACACCACTTTTTGGGGGGAGTAGTACCATAAAATTATATATCAATGGAAAGATAATTTAATCAAGAATGTAATGCAACACAGTTTGTTCAATTATCTGTACTGTAGTCTATGAAAGGTTATAGCCAAATAATCAGAAAAAGGAAGCACAACTTGCTTAGGTTGATATCAGGTAGCTTTACTTCATCTGATTGTAGCCAATGAGCATGAGTGTTTAGAGAGCCAATCAGGTGTCATCTTGTTTTGGCAATGAGCCAATCAGATCACAGTAGGATTCAGTTATTGATGTCATGTATTGAAGCTGAGAGGAGGACATTTGTTAGTGTGTTCTGTGATCGCTATCAAGTTGGTTGGGTTTTCTTTTCTTTCATTTAGTGAGCTTGTAAAATGTAATAAAATTAAAGTAATGGTGCAAAGAGTTGACTGGTTGCCCAGAAAGCGATGTAAAATAGTATTATTAAGTGAACAAGGCTACAATTATAAAGAAATTAGAAGAAAAATTGGTGGAAACTTAACCAAAGGTGGCATTTCTACTGTACACTTTCCCCAAAAGGTTTCCACAATTTTGGCCACTACTATAAATATCTTATATTTTTTATAGAACATGAATTTCAGTTTAACATCTGTTTTCTCCAGCACAACCCTGATATGAGTATCTGGGATCTTATAAAACTATAAGAATCTACACAGATATTTTATAAAAGCAACTAAAACATTTTTAAACTCAGCTATGGTTGAATATTCATCTTATTCAGAAACATGAATTCAGCCCATAGTCCAAAAAGATGTAAGTAGCAACAGCAATTTGCACATATTCCCATACTAAACTAAACCATAGTATGAACAAGGCAGAGATGTGCCGGAGCCAACTCACTAGGGCCAATTGTTACATTTTGGGGGATGTTGTGAGCCAGTTAAGATATATACATATACATACATACATACATACATACATACATACATACATACATACATCAAAACTTGCATATTTGAGACTAAGTCTTCTCAGTGGAAATGGCCAAGAGGGAAAGAACCCACTTGGCCATTTCCTTTGAGAAATTTAAAGAATGGGATATAATTTGACTAAAATTAGGATCAGAGAATATGGCTTAAGGATATTATGAAGCCTCATTCTAGTTCTCAAACATGCTATTCCTGAATATAATTCAGTGACCTCTTTTTCATTTAATTTACAATTTAATTAAAATGTTTATGATACTGGATGAAACAGAAATGTTAACTGTAGACAAAGTTACTGACCAATTTATAAAAAGAAAGCATTTCTTCAGGGAATAACCAATCAATTCCTAGTGTATCATAATAAGCTAGCCTATTCATATATTATTCTTTATTAACTTATATTTCTCCAAACCAATGTAAAATTACTTTTAGCAATGATTACGAAGGCTAGAAATTATTTTAAAATATTTTTAAATCAAATGAGAAAAATCACTTTGTAGTAGAATAAGTGTCAAATAAAAAAATGGTTGTACTCAGACAAAAGCAAAATATTATGTACAGTTACAGTGTAAAAAAGAAATGGAAAGAGTAAAGAAAAACAGATAGCAACTCAAAACAGCTGAAGATTACAGATATAGATTAAAAATGAGTTCAATACAAATTCTTAAAAGTTATTGTTGAGACTGTTTCTTTACCAACTCACACTGCAAATATTATAACCTATCTTTATAGTGTCAGTTAAAATAGTTGTTTTACATGTCAAAGAGCAGCTTAAAAAAGCAGAACGTTTTGGGATGCCCTGTTATCACTGTAAAATACTATTGTAATTGGCTAAACTCAAAAATAGCTACTGAACTGAAATCTAGGTTCTCAATATTTTTCTGCACTCTTATGTTACTCAATAGGAAATTCTTTCATTCATAACAGCAAACACAAACATGTCAACAAGCACATAGAGGAGCAGATTACCAACTTCACATTTTATATGTATTAGATTCTCTACCATGGGGGGGGGAGGGACAGAAGGTATGTATTGGATAAACACAAATCTGAATAGAGGAATTAATAAGGACAGCCCTTTATATTTCAGGATAAAATGTACATCTATTATTAATACACATTTACATAGCATTGGTGCAAAGATGCCTTGCTCAACATATTGCCATACGGAACGCAGGAAAATAGAAAGCAAATAAAGCTGATCATGTAATTACTGTAGTGTTATTAAGAAATCTGATCTAAGCACTATATAATCCGTACCTGTGTCCCCATTCCCGCTCTCCATTTTTACAGATTTACTGGTTTCTGACGGAGTATTCATTCTTGAGTCTGCATCAGAAACAAACAACAAACAAAAAAAGACAATGAGTTAGGAGAAAATAGTCCTACTGACTCTATCTTTATGACTGTGGTAATCGTAACATTTTTATTTATCAGTCTATATAGTGCACTGTATCCTAATTGTTAAGTTTGCACTCACAGTATATTAAAAGAAAACCAGGGCATAAAAATCCCCATGTGTGACTATGAAATTTTAAATACTAGTTACTATTAAAAAGAACTACTGAAATAAGAATTATGTGTTTCATAGTTGCAATTATTTTGGCAATAAATACAAATATTGGCTAAACAAGTAGCCTTGCACTGATATTTTGTTTCATTGCCATTTTCTACCATGTTTTATTTAAAATTTGTTTTAGTGAAATTCTTATACAACTTTACAAAGTTGTTTAACTTTCCTTCTACCATAGCTTTCCCAGTGCCAATCACTTTTCTTGTCCTAATGCAGATACATACATCTTCTGAGAAGTTGCCATGACATATGTAAGCTATCATTGTGCAACTGCATTACTATAAGTTGAATGTGATGACATATCCTAACATTTATTTTTTAGAAATAACTCCTTCTCTAACATTGAAATCTCCCCAATATTGTCACTGTTCAATGGTAGTACAAAAATTACCATTTAATATCAATACAACATTTACATGTTGTGCTGATAGTAGGAAAGTTCTATATATTTCTAGCAGTAAAAAAAAGGATTCAAGAAAATAAAACTGAATAGTTCCTGACAGTTAAATGGCACAACAAAGATCTAAATCATAAAAACTTTGAACCCATTTCTAGTACTATCATTCATTATACCCTAGATCTTTATTTGTTTCATCACTTTCCAGTTATGAACAGATTCTTTTCTGCAAGCAAACTGATTTCTATTGGAATGGTATGAAATAATAATATTGTAGCCAACAGATTTGTAGTCTTTATAAAATACCATCCATTCTTCATCTTTCCAGTTATGGCACATTTACGGTTTAAATTACAATCCAGGTAATTTTTATAGAACATTATGAAAAACAAAGTAAACAAAAACACTCAACAAACCACTTGTCTTTTGTACCTTCATTAATGTACTAAATTTTCATGAACTTCAATTTTTCTGTAAAAATTGATACTGGGTGGGGAAGGTACCCATTGGTGAGGGAATATCCCTGGTACAAGAAGCCCTGTGTTTATTTCTGTTGCAATTCCCCTCCCCCCAATATCTATTTATACTAGGTAGAAAGAATAGCTATCCATTTCTGAAAGTAATGGGGCCAATTGTCAATCAACTTGGGAATCATAAATCAGAGGACAGGAGTAATATCTGGATTTGAATGTCTACTTGAATTGTTACTCTGCTTGAATGACAGGCTCCTAAAATGGATTTTTAGTAAAGTGATAGGCCCAATTGTCTCAGTGAGTGACATATACTGTAAAGTTCAAATAATCAACAAATTTTGTACAACAGATACCTGTACATGTTCTCAGACTTCTATAGAAGTTTACAGGCAAAAACTAGAAACAATTAATCACTAGGAGAGTATAGAGACTGCCATTTTAGGACAACATAAAGTATTTATTTATAAGTAAAGACTGTTAAAGTTGCAGTGAAAATTGCCAAGGCAAAATCAAATCCTCCAAACCTGTGAAACAAAATAATTCACATAATTTAACAGATGACAAACAAATATTGAGAAAATAATAAGTAACATATAAATGTTATCTTTTAGGCAAAGACTGTCATTTTTCATAAGAGAAAAATGAGATAGGAGAAAAAAAGCACATGTAACTTGAACTGACTAAATTATATTCCACATTGTCAATGTATTTTCTTGCTATTATAAAATTATTTCAAATTCCAAACTTGAAAATGAGGATTCCATGAAGTTGTTTGTTTCAATACAGCATTAAACAAAACACTCTTGTATGGGTACTTTCAGCTTTTCCAAAACAGATTTTTAAATTAAAACTTTGGTCTTGTTCCAAAAGGAACATTCCATTGGCAAATTCCATTCTGTCATATTTTTATATGTCAGGCATCGCCCTAATTTTCTCCAAAGTTTAGAAGGCAATTTGGGGGCAAAACTCGGTTATGCAATGCAAGATGGTGGTGGAGAAACACAAGAATAGGAAATTCTACTGCTCGTAAAGAAATATGCTCATTTTAAATGTAAATTTAAATTACTGTTATATATAAATTAGCAGATTTCAGAATATAATCTTTTATTCCTCTTTTAATAGAGCATGGGAAAAATGCACACTGAACATTAAAAGCATATTTTTCCAATTAAGGTTCAGTCAAAATACGTGGACGAGTATAATAAATTTAAATAAATTATCACAAAGCTTGGGCTATCACTCTTAGTATGAAAATGCCATGTTGTGTACTTATATATGAATGAGTGTGTCTGTATATTATGTTACATCCTAGTTTTATCATCCTAGCTTTATCATTTTCTTCTTTGAACAGGGTTTTTTTTCACCAGCTACTGCTTCCCCAATAATGCAAACTTTACTCTTGCATCATGCATGAGTTATCCAAATAATACAAAACACAGCCAGATCATATAGTAACAGTCAGTATGCAAAATCATGCCAAAAATGATGGTAAAGTGCTGTCCACTGTGAAACTAATTCATTGATATAAAAGTCCAGTTTCCTCATGATTACATCTTGGCTTAATAATCAAAATGTTTTATATATTATACACGCAAACAATATGCCCCAATACTTTCTGAATATTTGCAGTATAAATCTACAGGTAAAATATGCAGTATGTCTTATTTACAAGGAATCAATCTGCAAAAATTATTTTTTCTACCAATTATAAACACATTTGTACAACAGAATATTCTATGCTTATTCTGAAAGTTTAATAAATTTATTAGACTGCATCAAACACACACACACACACACATACACATACATGTGGTTTCAATGGATTCACCTTAGAAACATGTTTAATGGGATGTATTACCATAAGAGTATAAAAATGATCATGAAGAGCAAGAAATGATGTATGTACTTCAAAATGAGAGGATGCACTTAGACTCTCATATTGTCTAGAACTTAGTTGAAGGTAGACAGACAATCCTTTAAGCCTTATTACAGACTGCTGAAATGAACTTACAACCACATGATATAGTGACACTAAGTAGTTCAAGAGGACTTCAAAAGCAAACAGAACCTCCACGAACTGCTTGTGAACTCCCAAAGGCATCTGGCTCACCAATATAAGACGAAAATTCAGGAAGAATTGGAATCCTGCTATAATCCACAAGACGAGTCTAATTTAAAGGTGAATGTAAAAGTAGGAGACAAATGTATTTTTAATGGAAAGGTGTGGCTATAAGGCACCTTAATTTCAATAGCACATGGTAGAACAAATTCACATTTTTAACTATGTCCTTATCCCTTTCATAAAATGTTTTATCATGGCACTAAAACAATTTTTTATTCTAAAGAAAACGTATTCTAAAGAAGCAAGGACGGAAAATAACAGGTGCAGTACTGAAATCATATGCTAATTAACTTCTAGATTCATTCTTAGTAATATTCTGACAGATCTCTAATGCTCTAAAGTTAGCCAACCACATACAATTTCAAAACAAATAAGAAGGGTTATTTAAGGAAATGGTTTTGCTAACACTGAAATCTATATGTTCAGCTAATATTCATTAATATTCTCAGATAAGGTTATGTAATTAATTCATCAGATCCCCAAAATTTCAAATGGCCAGATGAAAATTCCTTGAATACAACTGAAATGAAAATCACGTTTAAAAATGAATCCAGATATGAAGAACTTGAAATAATTATTCTAAAAAACAGTACAATCTCTGCTATTTTAATTTAAAAGTAACTAAATCCTTTTTCATAAATTTAAAAAAGCTAAATATTAAAAGCCCTGGAGGTAGAAAATTCTATTAACTTTAAAAGCATATTTTTAAAGAAAATAAAAACACTTATTTAATAAAAAATTAAACTAGGTGATAGTATTAGTAGCTAAACATTGGTATCGAAAGCAATGGCTGGCAGTAGTGTTTGCTTGCTTTAAAAAATAGTGAAGTATGACTTCAGTTCAGATATATATACACACACATATAAAATATAAGTTGAACTGATGAAGCTACAATGGATGACAGTATTCTCTTAACACCCTAGAATAGATACAGTAATATATACAAGAAAGCAAATTCTTAATTCTGTCAAGAAGCAAATGTTTTAAAATTTACAATTCTGTAAGCTTCCATTCTTGACAGTCATGAGCAACTCCATTTCTCCAATGCTGAAGAGTAAGATTCTCTGGAAGAAAAACGAAGAATGGGGAAGGCGTTTGCTACTGAATCACTGACAAGATTTCAACATTTCAAATGCATCCCCCAATCTTACATATGCAATTAAGCCTGTATGTTTAGTCAATTTTAACAACTGCTATTTCCATATTACATGCTTGCAAGAAGTCAGTGGAACTGATACCCACCTAAAACATAGTCGCTGCAGTCCAGCATTGTTGTGCAATCTTCTAAAGATTTAGGTAATCCAAGGAAAGAGAAAAAATACTTTCTAAAATAAAAGGCATATACTATTACTCTTTAAAAGAAGGAAGGGGGGGGTCAGGAGTAGGAAAAAGTACAACTTCAGTTACACCATAGCAATCTTCAACTGAACAGTGAAACTTCAGTTGCTCTGTGGACTTTTAGTCTCTCCTACTAGCTGTGTCTGACATTGTCAAGGCGACTGAAGCATGAAAAGTTCCCCTTTTTTTTAAATAAAATAGAAACAAAGATTGCAGCTGGCAGTTTCCATAATGAAGCTTAATCAGTATGCGCCTGATTAGGGCCTTATGCAAATCTCCCCTCGTTAGCACAGCAGCCAGCACTTTGAAGTCCATGAACAATTCATTTGCAGAGTACACTGAAAGCACTCCCTGCATAATTTAAATCATGATATAAATATTTATCAGCTCATTTACATATTAATTGGCAGTGCATGAAGGGAAAAATTATCTT